TGCCACTCTCCACAACACCATTATAAATATTTATTTTCAAATTAAACTTTATATTTTCTTATACCTGGGATCAACCATAGGAGTAATTTTTGGAAATATGTTTTCTATTTTTTTAAATGTTATTTAAACCAACACTTTTGTTGCAAATTATAGAATTCATAGAGCCAGTGGCTTTTACCAATTCAACCAAAAGTTTAATGATATATATATATATATATATATATATATATATATATATATATATATATATATATATATATATATATATATATATATATATATATATATATATATATATATATATATATATATATATATATATATATATATATATATATATATATATATATATATATATATATATCATTAAACTTTTGGTTGAATTGGTAAAAGCCACTGGCTCTATGAATTCTATAATTTGCAACAAAAGTGTTGGTTTAAATAACATTTAAAAAAATAGAAAACATATTTCCAAAAATTACTCCTATGGTTGATCCCAGGTATAAGAAAATATAAAGTTTAATTTGAAAATAAATATTTATAATGGTGTTGTGGAGAGTGGCAGGGTCACATAAATGTTTAAAAAAGTATATATTTTGTACTATTATATCTGTTTTTAGTATATAGTATTTTTTATTTTTTTGCACACAGTTACAGTAACAGGTCCCACTGCACAATAGTTGGAATTAATCAAAAAGTGGCAAAAAAAAGTTTTAAAAGAGTTTAATGTAAAATATTTTATAAAATTGCAATTTTTACTGTAAAAATGTAGAGGAAGATAAAATAATTGGAAGAAAATTAAACAGACTTTCAGGGTTTAATGAAAAATATTTTATAAAATTATATTTCTTACAGTAAAAATGCAGAGGAAAATAACTTTTAAGACTAAGAAATAATAGTTTAATATGTTTAATATGTATGTTTCTACAAAAATCAGCATATAAAGCTTGAACAAACAAACCAAATCAATATAAAATAACCATGGACAAGTTACAAGTACTTGTACGTGCAAAAAAAGGAATTAGTTACGCATAAAATTATTTTTTATTAAATAATTAATTGTTAGTAAGTTAAGTAATTAGTTACGTTAAGAAAGTAGTTTGTATGTAAAAAGTGAAATAAGTGAAAACCAATTTTTTTTTAATTTATTATAATATGAATAAAATCTCAAGTTAATATCAAAAAATTCATTGATTCAATAAGCTTATTTATTTTATATCAAAATAACTAACTTTTTCATTTTTTGCTTTTTTCTCCTTTGTAAAATAAGCCCGTAAAAAACATAGGGCGTTTAGAGTATCATCCTCAATGGATGATCTAATTTTGTGATAATGTTGCCATTTGCTGAAAATCTATCCTCCAATTCAACATAAAATGTCAACAATTTTCGAACTAAAAAATGCATTTTTCAGCAGGTGATGAAACAACAACTCTTGCTAATCCAAGGTTCCAACATAAAGGGTGTTCAATCTAGAAAAACTTATCAACGAATTGCTGCGTTGATTTTGTAAGAAACCAGTGATCAGAGGTTTGGATTTTTCCTCCGTTGATAATGGTACCAATAAAAAAAAACGATGATGATGCTGCATCTTGGGACAGTTTCCTATTCAGCAAGTCAATTTCATGTTTTTTGTTTTTAGTTGTGTATTCAGTACACTGGTACTCCACCAGTGTACTGAATACATATCTAAAAACAAAAAACCTCTTTTTTGCTTCATTGGTACTCCACCATTTTACCTCCACTGGTACTCCACCATTTTACCTCTTTTTTGCACTTCTTACACATTGCAAGTTAATTTTCTTTATCAAGCAGAAAGTAAAACAACGCAGAACTTTCATCAACTCGTACAGTGGTGAACGGTTTGAATACTTTTTAGGATGTTTTATGTTTTTCTGGATATTAAGGTAATTCTATCTCTTAGACATAAAATCTTGATTTTTAGTTCTTAATTCAAAATGCATAAAGTTAATAAGCGTAACTATAATTGCTGTTAATTCTATAACTTTTGAGCCAAACCAATACCGGTATTTCTATACTTGAAAAAGTCCAGTACTACCGGTATACCGGTATCTGTACTACCGGTATTGGAAGCACTATTTGTGATGTTCTCTACAAAAAATCAGTGATTTCAAATTCATCGGGCAGTGAGTGTAATGCATCAAACAGTCAGAATTCTGATGAAAATAATAGTGAAGACGACGAGTCTGAAGAAATCGATTTTACAACTTCAATGGAATTACAGTCAAGCCAAAACAACAGTTCATTAAATTTACAAGACGTTTAGATCACTGACGAATTAATAGACTGCATAAGTAAAGTACAATTAATTCATATATATATATATATATATATATGTGGTGAAAAATATTTTCACCACATAAAAAAGTCAGCAAAAAATTGCTGACCTTAGACACCGTAAGGTCAGCAGTTAAGTTGACATTGCCGCATGTTAACCCTATATCCGTAGGCTGATATGTGTGTGTGTGTGTATATATATATATATATATATATATATATATATATATATATATATATATATATATATATATATATATATATATATATATATACATATATTTTATATATATATATATTATATATTATATATATATTTTTTATTTAAGTCTCTGAAGAAGTCTTTACAATCTTATAACAGAGCACCGCAAATGTATATACATCATATATATATATATATATATATATATATATATATATATATATATATATATATATATATATATATATATATATATATATACATCATATACATACATATATATGTATGTACATGGTTTAAATAAATGAAGTTTGGAAATTCTGTTCTCCATAAGGCTTATCTTATTTCATATAATATTAGAGAACTTCTGTAAAAATTTGAAGCAAATCAGACTATATTTAGGGGCCAATAAAAATTTTGACCTTTTATGTATATGGTCTATCCGGTCAAAAGAGTAAAAATTTCATTTAATATTTTCATATTTTAATATTTAAAATTTTTAATGAAAAATTGTTATAATACTGATTTCAAAAGTATGACATATAAGTAATGCCCCATCAAATATCATTTATCGCAATCATAGCTGCCTTAGAGAAGGATGGGTAAATCTGGAGATGTCGCTAGACAAAACCAAACAGAAATTGTTTTTGGTCCTTGTCTTTGGTGAGAGTTTTATTATATTTCTGGATAAGAGCAATGATACGCTCTGCGCTATCATCGATAACCTTTATCTTGTCGAATTTTAGTAGCATTTTAGTAGCATCCGATTTTCGACATCCATCGAGCATGATGCATTGCTTCTGGAGCTCAAAAAGTCCATCTTAAAACTGCCTCCACCGAGGAAGACAAGACATAGCTGAAGAAGCTCCAATTAATCCTCCCGAGACTGTTGATGTCCTATGGCTTTGGTGTAGTAGACAACCATCCCCATCCAAAGATTTTTGGTATCCTCATTCAAGATTTCATCTCTAGCTGGCGAATACTCTGTTTGCCTGATGTATGGCCATTTCTTCTAAAACCTCTTAAAAAGACCAATTTCTGGTCCACCCGTCCCACCAAAAATATCTGTGAAAACACTGCTCAGAACAACTTCAAGGACATGATGACAGTATCCAATGTTTTTAAGTTCATGGCCAATGGCTTCCTCAATAAGAACGCATGCCCCTAAATAAATGCCTGTGTTGGAGGAAGTTGTATCAAATACCAGATTTTGAACTTTTTCTTGTAAACTCCAGTCATCTAGTACTTTTAAGCATGCAGCAGCCTGTTCTTCCCCAGTTCTTTCTACAATTTTTGGGACAGCCAACAACTTCTCAAAATCATTCCCAGTGATGATTACAGCAACTCGATCAACTGTTTATATAATATATATATATATATATATATATATATATATATATATATATATATATATATATATATATATATATATATATATATATATATATATATATATATATATAAAAACTGCTCTGTTTTAGAAGAAATGTAAAAGAATATTTTTAAAATTTTATTAATTTTGAGGGACGTTTGTTTTTTCTCTGTGTATATATCTTTATATTTGTGTTTGTGTGTGCATGAAAAAATATTAAACTTTCTTATTTTTTTTAATACTTTTTTGTTTTTCTTTATTTTATCTTTAATTTTTATCATGTTTTTTGTTACAGTTTTATTTCTTTTAGTTTTAAATATTTATCGTAGCCACAATTATTACTATTTTTAACTTTACTATTATTATTCATATTTTATTATTTTCAATTTAAATAAATGTTTTATGTCCTTGTTAGTTGTTACATTTTATTAGTCAATTGTTGGTAACTAACTTATATGTATATTTAGCTTTTGTGTTTATAAAAACAAATGACTTATCATTTGATTATTTTTTTAATTTAATTACTATTATAATTGTTAGTGTTGTTTTTTTTTATTATTATTGTGGTTCTTATGTTTTATACCATAAATATTATTTTTATTATTATAATTATTATTCTTGTAATTATTACTAATTATATATATGAAGATCTATATATTTTTGGTGTTTACTTGATATTAGTAGAATTACTATTTGTAAATATCCATGAAATTATTTTTCAGAATATATATATATATATATATATATATATATATATATATATATATATATATATATATATATATATATATATATATATATATATATATATATATATATAGTTATATATATATATATATATATATATATATATATATATATATATATATATATATATATATATATATATATATATATATATATATATATATATATATATATATATGTATATATATATATATATATATATATTTATATATATATATTTATATATATATATATATATATATATATAACAAACCTAAAATGTATAATAAGCACAAAAAATATAACTCATCTAATGAAAAAGTTAAATAATAATAGTGTAGCAAAAACTATAATAATTTTATTTGAATTAGCAATTATAACATTACTTAATATAATAACATTACCTTTAGGTTGAAGATTTTGCTTTGATATTTCTTCTTCATCTGAGCTATCTGAGAGTACAATTATGGGAGGAGCTCCTAAACCAAATAACCTATTTTTACTAAAAATAACCAAATAAGCTGTTTACTTAAAACTTTTGCAATTTAGAGCAACTTTTAAAAAACAGTCTAGATAATAACTGAGAACAAATACAAACTTTGTAGCTGCATATATTGTTAGTGGGGTCACTTGTGGTGTGACTTAGCGGGGTCACTTGAGAAGTGGTTTAGTAGCAGGGTTGGCATTAAAAAACCCGCCCAATAAAACCCAATAAAACTCGCCTAAAAAAACCCAATAAAACCCAGGCAATCTGGGTTTTTTTGAAATATATCTAAAAACTTATGAACTATTATATTAATAATATATACTATTATTAACCAACATTTCTGAAAACATAAACATATTATAGAGCTAGCTATAAAGGGAAATTTTCAATTTAAACACAACATTTTTATTTAACACAGTTTTATTTTGGAAACCAAACAAATTAGATTCATTCAATAAGATTTTTTAGAATAGATACACATTGACAAGACTATTTACATTTTTGGTATACTTCTTGCAAATACAACTTTACTTTAATGTAATATTCACTTTATATTGTAAAAGCATAAACTCTAATGTAAAAACATAAACTATAAACTATTTTTGATACTGTTTATATATTTGCACAAGCTTTTTAGCCTTTTCACATCCTAATTTATTTCTAACTTTTGACCAAATAAAACCAAATGAAGAAAATATTCTTTCTATTGATCCTGAGCTAGCAGGGCACGTTTGAAGTTTAGAAATAAATTTGCAAAATCCTTCAGGCAATTTTTTCTGAATTGATTTTTCATTTCTCTGATTAATGATAGACCACCAATCACTGCACAATATTGTTGATATAATTTGATTACTCAACATCCTTTTAGGAAATGCATCACAATCCTTTAATTTAAGCAAAATCAACCCAGGTACAAAATCAGGATAATGATTGTAAAGCCATTCCTCAACCTCATCTTCATTTTCAATTGGCAGGTTTTTGCCTATAAAAAAAAAATTCAGATCATCATATAGGTGTGAAAACAATTTTTTTTTTAAGCAAAACTTATTTTTACCCAAAAAGCGAGGATTGGTCATGTATGCAAGATAATGGATAGGTGTCAAAGCATCATTACATCTCTTTTTGATAGCTGTGTGGTAATGACTTAGTTCAGGGTTATTCAGAAGTGAGAGCCACAACTCAACACATTCGGATAGGTGACAGCTGTCACTTTGCATCTAGAAAAAATTTAATTTTTAATTTATTTAATTAACATAATATATTTATTTTTATTACTTTTCCTTTACACCTACAAAATCTTATTATGTAAAAAAACTTTAATATAAAAAAATTAAATACTTAATCTAAAACAACACCAAATATTTTGAGTTGGGTTTGAAGACTGTTAGCTTCTCTAAATATTGCTCGATTTTCAATAATTTTTCTGATTTTGATAGGTATATCATGATTATCTACTATTTCTACATAAATTTGGTAGTTTTTTATGTATGTTTCTATACAGTCAATTTGGGAGTTCCATCGGGTATCGTTTGGTAACTGAGGCATATGCCCTCCTTTCTCACGCAACCATCCCTTAAAATAAAAATTGAATAGTTAATTTTAAACTTTTATATATTTTTTATACTCTAAGTTTAACCCACAAATACAAAATAATGTTTACATGCGGTTGATGTGTATTACGAAAATATTTCTGCACTTCAACCACATGTTTGATGACATCTGGGTGTGTTACTTCTTTTTCTAAAAGGTTTAAATAATGTGCAGAACACCCATATGTTAAAAGATTTGGATACGTTTCTTTGATTGAATCCCTCATTTTTTTCATCTTATTTTCATTATCTGTTATCACAGCAAATACTTCTTTATTGTATGTTTCTTTAAGATCTTTAATGACATTACAAAGGAGTTCGGTACAATACTTGGCTGTTTTTTTATTTGATGCACAATCAGTAATGCATAAAATTTTAGAATTAAGTCCGTCATATGCACTGTGAGCAATAATGGGATCATTAGTAACACTACTCCATCTGTCTTGCATAATTGTTATTGTTTTCTCTTCTTGGGTAAGTTGATCCATCATTTTTTTGTTTACTTCCTCATAAACTTTTTATAAGAGCTCTCCTCCTAGCATTTTACGGTTAGGTGGTTTGTATCTTGGTCTCAATGAACTGATCATGTCTATAAATTCTTGATTTTCAGAAGTTTTAAATGATACATTTGCACTAAAGAAAAATTTTGCTATCTTTATATCAATATTTTCTTTCTGTTCCATATTAGTTGATATTGTGTACGATGACATCAACCGCTGCTTCTTACAAGGTGTTAACGAACTTATAGAACTTACAGATGCCAAAGAACTTTTTCCAACTTTAGCTGATGGTCCAGCTATTAGAGATGATGGTCCATCTATTAGAGCAGATGCACTAATATTTAAATCATTATTTGGTACATCATCACAATTTTTATTTAAATATTTTGACAAATTGAGATTTTCTCTTTCTGTATGCTTGTGTAAAAACTTAAACTTTTTTTGGCAATGTTTTAAATGGGGTTTTACTCATTCTATCTTGTTGCTAATCAAAGCATGACAATAGTCACAAGAAACCTTTGTACTGTTTTCAACTTCAGTCACTTCATGCCATTCTCCAGCTTTCTTTCTCCCACTTCCCATCGGCATTTTTAATTATAAAAAATATTATTATTAAATCTAAAATAAATCAATGCATATACCTATATATATTATCATGATTTTTTTTTTTTTTTTCACATTTTTAGATTTTTTTTAAACTGTAATTAAAAAAAACTTATTGAAAATAACTTGAGGTGTATAAATTTTAAAAACTTATAAAATATATTCTAAATAAACTTAAATAATTAAAAATAAACTTAAATAAGTTAAAAATGATATTAGTTTTCAATATTATTAAACAAACAAAAAAAATTTTTTAACAAAATTAAAAAAAATAAAAACCCAAAAAAACCCAATAATACCCAAAAAAAACCCAAAAAAACCCACTGGGCCGGGTTTTTTTTAAAAAAACCGGGTTTTTGCCAACCCTGTTTAGTAGAGTCACTTATGCCTAACAAAGTTTTATATTCAAACTATCTTGTGTAAAGAAGTAAAAAATTATAAATATAAATGAGCAGTTACTTGAATGAAATATTACTCGCTTAGCATAATAAAAAATATCAAACATTTTTTTAAGGTCAAGAAGTAAAGCCTTAAAGATTTGCTTTTTTGAAACAATTATTTTTTGAAGCGATTATTTTTTGAAGCAACACTTTTTTAAAGCAATACTTTTTTGAAGCAACACTTATCAACATAACTTTTATAGTTTAAATATAATATCAATAATAACATTTGATAAAATTTTAAGTAAAGAAATTACTTCTCTTGCTAATATTTCACATGAAAACATGTATGTTACATACAACCATTTTATCTCACATACAACAAGCTCATTTGACATAAAAACAAGCTCTTGTGACATAAAAACAAGCTCATGTAACATAAAGCCATTTTATATTAAATATTAAATACAACCATTTAAAAATGTTGTCTTTAAGCAACTTTTTACATGAAAAAAGTACATCAAATAAAGTACATCAAATAAAGTACATCAAATATAGTACATCAAATAAAGTACATCAAATAAAGTACATCAAATAAAGTACATCAAATAAAGTACATCAAATAAAGTACATCAAATAAAGTAGAAATAATATACTTTTTATTAAAACAAAATATAACTATATATACAAAATATATAAAAAAATCAGGCTTAACCAGGAAGGTGTGCGATTTCAAGTCTTTATATAAAACACACAAAAAATATTTTGTTTTGATGATTTAACCACATTTTTAAATAAATGCGCTGATATAACATTTTTATATTAGCAAAACACATTTAAATAAATTAGCTAATGATTTTAATTAAATTATCATTGAAAGTTGTATAATTCTTTATTTATATTATTTAATTATATAAGATTTTTTATAAGTAAAAATAAAAAAAGTAAAAATAAAAAAAAAAAAAGTTAAATTTAATAAGCAACGACTTTAAACAGCAAAGGTTCCTTTAATAAACTTTAATAATTCTTATTCGTTAGAGTTTTTATTAAGAAGAAAAAAGACTTTTTTGAAAGTCATTTGAATTAAATATTTTATTTTAAATAAAGTAAAAAATCAATGCTAATAATTTTTTATAAAAACATAAATAAATAATATATATTTTTATATTTATATAAGTATTTATTTTTTAATATAAATGTTATAAAATAAATAAAATATATATCAATTTTTTAAATAAACGATTTAATTATTTTTTCTTTTGTGCGACAAATTGTTAGGAATCTTTTTTAAACATTTAAATGTGCGTGTTTATTAAACAATCGTCAGTTGTAAGATGTTACTTTATTTAAAAAGGGTTTTGCATAATATTATATTATATAAACATTAGTAAAGACAAACAATTCATAGTTATTTATTCCAAACGTAATTTAGATGATCTTATCGTTATAGTTTATTATTTATTTTTGTTTAATAAGTTTAAAATTTTATAATAATAAGTTTAAAATTTTATTTTCGCTATTTTAGTTTTAGTTAAGTTATTTTTTTGTTTGTTTTTTGTTATTTTTTGATATTTATTTGCTTTTTCAACTACAAGTTTTTTTTAAGTTTCTTTATAGTTTAAGTTAAGATAATTTTTTAAGCACATTTTTAAAATATATAAAAATTTTCAAAACATATTAACAGCCGTGGTCTGTTAATATGTTTTGAAAATCAAATAGTATTTGCATGGTCATATTATGATGTGAAATCGCACGCCTTTCTGGCCAAGCCTGAACAAAACACTTAATTAGTCTAGAAAATACTATAGAACAAAATTACTGTAAAAAGTAAAAACAATGTTACCTCTAGATGCTCCAACCCTCATAACTGCTTTGTTATCATATTTGCTATTTGAAATTTCTTCTTTTATAGTAAGAGGTACCTTTTCACTTTCAATACTTCTCGTATTATTAGAAGTCTCAGTATCATCACCTTCTAAATAAAAACACAAATAGTTACTTTTTATAAAACAGAGTTGATAATGCTGCTCGGCGGCAAAGTAACTTTCGGCCAACTTTTAAGGGAGATAGAAGTAATATTCAGCCAACTTTTAAGGGAGATAAAAGTAACTTTCGGCCAACTATTAAGGGAGATAGAAGGTGTTAGCAGTGGCTTCCCATTAATTTTTATTGGTAAAAGGTTCTTTCTTCCGCCTCCAGTGGCTTCTGCCCTTTTATTGGTAGCTGCAGCCAGAGTTATTTTTTGGAGGCAAAATGTTTTAGAGGTTGATGCCATTAGGGAGGCGAAAACTATTGGTGGTCACCTCCAGAAAAAATTGTGGAGGCAGAATCATTTGTCTTTAAGTTAACGAGCAATTAAAATATTAACTGAGAACAAATGTTAAATATTTGACATCACGTTTTGTTTTATATGATTTATTAATTATTTAATTTTTTGACTTTTAAACATTTTAAACTTTTATTTGCTTAAAACTTTAAAACGTGTAAAAATAGGTGAGTCTATTTTTAAATGTTTTAAAAATATAGAGTAAAATATAAATAATATTTATAAAAGTAAATAAAAAAATAAAAGTTTATAATTTTTTTGTTGTTGTTGTTGTTGTAATTTGGCTAAACTATTAGCGTAATACAGCATGGTCACAAATTTTTAATAAACATTAGCAGATACTTTTTCAATAACTTTTACAATATGCAATTAATAAAAATAAGTATTTAATGTTATTGCAAATGATAAAATAGATAAAAATTTAACATGTCAGTTAGTTTTAAAATTTTTTGATCATTATCAGCCAATTTAATTACTTATTATAATTTTTTTTTTTTTTTTTTTTTTTTGTCAAAAATATCTATTTTCCAATGGCATAGAAAAAAAAATTCCAACTTTTAACTTTTGTTTTGAATAAAACTACTAATTTATTCTACTTAATTTATTAGTTTAAAAAAATATATATAATTTTTTTAAATACTTAAAACTTTTGTAAATAATCATATAAAATGAAACTTGATGTCAAATATTTATTATTTGCTTCTAGTTAATATTTAATTGCTTTAAAGCAAACGAGCAATTATTTTTTATTGCAGCCACACCCAGTTGGAAGGCAGAAGCCATTGAAAATTTCTTTTGGGGGCGACCACCATTGGCTTCCACCTCTCTATTGGCGTCGGCTACCAAAAAAAAACTCTGACTGTGGCCGCCAATAGAAAGGTGGAAGCCACTGGAGGCAGAATGAAGAAAATTTTGCTGCAAAAATTAATTGGGAGGCAGCCGCTGTTTGCTGCAGAAAAAAAGTGAAGGCAAGAATATATATGACGTTTATCAACACTGCTATAAAGTGACCTTTATTTAAACATCGATATGTTTGGAAAAGTGGTTTATATTTAAACACTTTATCTTTTTAAATAATCCTAAAATTGTAACTAAAGGAATACAAAAATTTATCAAATTTTGGATGAAAAATAAATAATTCACCAAAGTTTCTTTAAAAAATACTGATATGAAATAATACATAACAAATTAAAAAATTAAAAATAACAATACTATATTTTGATATCCAGTATTTTTTTTTTTGTGATTAAAGATCTAAGATGTAAAAAAATACCTGTTTCAGAGGAACTAGGTGATGGTGAAGAACTTGATTCATCAAGATTTATAACAAAAGGACAAGATCGAGCAGGCTCAACTTAAGTAAATCAAACAAACATTTGAAAATAAATTAAAATTAAAATATATGTATATATAATCATACATACATATATACATTCATGCATACATACATAAATACATACATACATACATACATACATACATACATACATGCATACATACATACATACATACATACATACATACATACATACATACATACATACATACATACATACATACATACATACATACATACATACATACATACATACATACATACATACATATTTTAAAGTTTATCTTAAAGGTTGTTTACCTTCTGTGATAAGTACTGGCATTGCATTTTTTTGTTGAAAATACATTTTCAAATACTAAGTAAGTTATCTTATTATATAAGTTAAAAATAAATTTTTTTTGAAATAAAATTTAGTTTGTATTGAATAGTTAGAAAATATATGGCGTAATAAGTCAATGAAAATCATTTACCTATAAAAAACAAAATTATCATTATACTTATTTCTGTACCTGCAGATATCATTTTCTGACGATAGTTATTTGAGATAACTCTTGGCATAAGCAATATATGATTTGCAGATGGGTAAGGTGGTCCCATACGAGCAGAAGGTATCAAATTTGATAATGTAGGTGCAAAAGTAGATAATCTTGGCCTTATTCGTAATGTACATGGACCAGGTTGTGTCATTGAGGTAACTATTGGGTGCTGGTATTCAGACTGTTTTTTATGCTCGGGACTGGTTTCATTATCTTTCACTATAAACAAAAATTTTAATCTTCTTTTAATACTTTTAACTAATTCAAAAAAGAAATTATAAATTTTATTCATTTTATCATTTTATCAGCATTCAGAAACAATGTTCAATAAACAATCAATAATTTTTAAGGAAAACATTAGCTTGACTTTCTAACAAAATCAATTAAGTATAACTTTTATAGTTTTAATTGCAATCACATATTAGAAAAACATAGTAAGAGTATTTTTATAATTACCATCTTGTTTAAGTGCTCCAGACTTTTTAAGTTCTAACAAACCATCTTTCTCAAAATTCCTTTTCATCTTTTTATATGATAAAACTAATCTATAAATTAGAAAACAAATAGATCAATTTTAACTGTTGTCAACAAGTTTAAAAATTTCATTAATTGATAAATTAAACAATTAATGTCTGAAATATATATATATATATATATATATATATATATATATATATATATATATATATATATATATATATATATATATATATATATATATACATATACATATACATATACATATACTATATATATATATATATATATATATATATATATATATATATATATATATATATATATATATATATATATATATATATATATATATATATATATAGTATATATATTACTGTTACCCGCAGTATCAGGAATTAGCTAAATGCTAATATTTATAATATTAGCATTTAGCTAATTCCTGATACTGCGGGTAACAGTAATATATATACTATATAGCTCTAGTTTATCTATTGAGCACTCTTTAAAATATACATTATTATACATGATAATATAAAGAAATCATCTTTAATATTTACATATATGCACCCACGTATATATATATATATATATATATATATATATATATATATATATATATATATATATATATATATATATATATATATATATATAATGGAAATATATGTATATAAATATGTCTATGCTGCATTTGTAATTGTATATGCTGGCCAGAATAATTTTTTTTTGTAAGAGAGCACAGCACCAATCTATTATATTTGCTGCTTATATGGTGACAAATATGTGGTAAAATGCATGAACATGGTGGTTTTAGGATTTAACAGTGTTGTTTATATGCCAGTTGATAGAGAGAATTGAACTTAGAGTGAAATCTAGGATTCTTACCGAATTAAGTCTGCAATTGAAATTTTAACCTCCAAATAGTACAGACTTGTTTGCTACAGATTGTTTTGGATCTTGGTTTTTTAGTTCAATACAAGAATCTAATTTTACTAAAAATATTGATGGTTTAATATTTAATAAAATATTTAATAAAACTGTAATATTTACTTACTGCTATAAAACTGTAATATTTTTTAAGTTTGTGACTGATCATCTATTTTCAAGTTCCCAAGCTTGTTAGAAAGCCTTGAGTTGCTCCTTTTAACAAGCTATTACTTTTGAAAAAGGGTCAATACAAGTGAACCTATAGCTATTAAAGTTAAATCTTTGAATATGTGACAAGTATTATGAAATTTGGCTTAACAGAGGGCAAATAGAAAGAACATTTTGCCAATCATAAACATTCACTTAAAAGTAATAAAGTATTCAAACGACACTATGCAGTTTAGGATTAGGAAGATTGTATAGGAATTGAAAGATAAAAATATTGATTTGTATTTATTTGGTCCATCCTTAAAACAGCCCTGCATATAATTAATACCTAATACTAATATAACTATTACTTCTATACAATGCATTCCAAATAATATGCATTTTTTCTTCAAATTTTTCTTGTAAGCATAATAATATTTTTCCGACAAGAAAATTTTGAAATAGTTTCACATGAGAACCAAGAATGCTTATTTAATAAAAAAATTGGAACTAATTTCTAAATGCAGGCATGAAAATAACTACTTATTTTTATCTTAAATTTCATTAATTTCAACTTTCAAAAAATACCCTTAAATTGTCCTTAATTATCATCTAAAATTAATTCTACAAACCTATTCCTATAAAATCCCTAACCTATTCTCCTAAAAAATCTAAAATCTGCTAAAAAACGATAAAAATAATTGAGCTCAAAAAATAATTATATTAAATTTTTTATAAATTTTTTAACAACATATTTTTTTATAATTTTTTTTAGAAAAAAAAAAAGCAGAAAACAAATCTAAAGAATTTTTTTTATAACGGCGTATATTCCACAAATGTGTGAAAATTTACAGTAGCTAAGATATATATGATTTCATGTAATTTTATTTTTGGTATAAATTGATGTTTTATTAATTTGAACATTTATTTCTGATGAGCCTTTATAGATAAAACAGAGTGTAAAATTAAAAAAACTTGATATATATATATATATATATATATATATATATATATATATATATATATATATATATATATATATATATATATATATATATATATATATATATATATATATATATATATATATATATATATATATATATATATATATATATATATATATATATATATATATATATATATATATATATATATTAAATACTTCTTTTATATTATGAGTATTTCACTTAAGGTTTGATTCTCAATATTCACTCACGCTTTTATTATCATAACCTCTAAAGTTTCGCGCAATTGCCGTTAAATTTCTGAATTTCTAGTTAGAGTAACGTCGTCTGCACGGATAAAGGTTTAAAAATTGTGTTAAAAGGTTTTGTAAACAACCTGTTTTCTTCTCGACTGTTGTCAGGGCCGTCCCGAAGAAATCTTAACTTTATGTATCTATTTTTTGCTGAGTCAGACCTAGAAAAATTTTTCAAATTTTTCTTAGAGGAGTTAGACACCCCTACGCCCCTCCTCGGGACGTACTGTAGGGACACCCCTACGCCCCTCCTACGGGACACCCCTACGCCCCTCCTCGGCCCTGACTGTAGTAACTTTACTTTGAGTGTACAGTCATTCTTTTTTTGATTCTTTTGATTAAAAATTAAATGCTATTTTTTGCTATTACTTTCAAGTTTTTAAAATATTAGGTCAATGTTCTCAGCTTCGTTTATTTTTTTCAGTTTTATTTTATTGTAAATACAAAGCTATTTTTGTTGTTAATTTTAAAATAATAGATTTTTAAGTATTGGGTAATTATAACAACATCTTGATAGATATATATGGTAGCTATGTGACCAAATAAAGTTTCCGAACCCTTCGAAACGAGTGGTTTTTAAACTTTACATGGTCAGAACCAGAGCCTTGGCTAATCTCCCCCACAACCCCAATAAACAATGACTTTGTATCTAAATTGAACCTCCTAGTATTTTATTTAAGTAAATCCCTTAAAATTTACTGTAAACATTAAAATAAATGACTTTTAAAATTGTTTTATGACTGGAGTACTACTTTACAGTTTTAGATCACACACCCACCCCCACCCTAGAAGTACTGTATCAAGTTTTCCAATACTTGCTAAAAAAAACAATCGTTTTATTTTTAGAATCAACTTATTTTTTTAATAATTTTGATTAATGAAGTAAAGAGCCCATAGATTTTAGATTACGAAACAATTTGACTTACCGACAGACACATTGAATATGATACCTTAAAACTTACGAACTTTAAAAACAAATATGTTACTTTGTCATCAAAAATGCGCAACTCTCGAGATGCCTGCATAATTACGATGAATCATGGTGCCCTATGTATCATAGTGTCCTACTCTTCCCTAACGCAAAAAAACTTATTTTGAAAATAGCTAGTACAAAGGAGGTTGCACGAGAAATAATCTCTGATACTGTAGCTATTTTAAGACAACAGTTTCAAAATGATGATTAGTCTTTAGATATTGGTGCATCGTATGATGGCGCATTGCAGCATAGGGGATTTTCTTTTTGATGATGCACCATCAAAAGTTAATACCATACACTACTTTAAATGTCCAACTGGTTTAAGCACTTAATATAAGTTTAACAACAACAAAGTAAATAGCACTGATACAAACATGCTAGTTTCTGGTATTTTTTAGAGGTTATATACAAGACCAGACCTTTATTTGAGGAGCTCATTAAAGAAAATGAGCTTTTAATGTCTTCATAGCACAACATAAAGTGCAATGAATTCTTTAATGGAAAACTTTGAGATTATGAAAAACTGAACATAGTTCCAGAATATTATATAATAAAAGAAAGCAAATAATTTGAGTTGCTCTTTTGCTGTGTAATTATCGAGGATAATTACACAACAAACTATGACGTCAAAAATTGACGGCTGAAAAAGTAAGAAAAGTAAAAAAAGTTAAGAAAAATAAGATAAAGTAAATGAACACGACGTTTCTAATTTTAGTTAGAGTCTTGTATTTCATATTTTGTATGCTTCTAAGTTTTTTAATTTTTTTTTTTTTTTAATTTTGCAATGTTTTTCAGTTAGAGCTTTTTCAATATGCCAGTTTTTTTAATATGCCGGACGCTATTACTAGCGTTTTTGACTGAAATTTTTAGCATAACTTCTTTTTAATAAAAGTTTTAATCAGGGCTGAATTTAGATTTATTAATATTGATATTTTGATGCATCAATAAATACAAATTTTTATATATCATGTATTATATCAGGAAAAAAACAATATGGCTAACTAAACAAAAATAAGCGCATAAGGTAAAATTTTGATAAGATAAACATTACTTGGTAGCTTTAATTGTTTGATAAGTAAACGTTATTTGATAAGATAACCTCATAAAATAATGCGCTTATTTTCTGACATCAACTTTGGCGCACAGGTTCTTAGGGCCCTAATTAAATAAAAATAAAAAACTCTGTTAAATTCAAAACAGTATTGTAGTGCATTTTTATAAGCTTTTGCGAAACTAGACCTAATGTTTTTAAAGTATTTTTGTCCATAAAAAAAATCCACAATACACTGTGCAACAAAATAAAAAATCCTACAACTTGAATAATAACTTTTTGTTATATGAGTTTTTTTATTATTTGCTATGTTCTTATTACAGGAGTACCTTTGGAATGTCTCTAGCACGTCCAGAAATAAAGTTAATCCAGTCTGAAAACTTATTCCTTCTATTTAATATTTCAATAAAAAAGCTTTACTCAAAGATAATGTTTCTTTCGCTGAATTAGCTAGTCTTGATGTTGAAATGAAAAAGTATTGATTAGTTCTTAAAAGTGACTAGTTTCAGAAATGGGAAAGTGGTGACTAGTTCTTGATTTTCTTTTGTATGCAGAACTGCTGTTCCTTTGCATAAATCAACAGAAATCACCCATTAAATTAAACTATATTTTCCTCGATATCGCAATTCATCACTATAATGTCCTGGTGAAAACGTTTTTCGTACTTGTCGCTTACGTCACCTAAGTTTGTCCGAAAAAAATGTCAATATGAGAATGCAGGAATTGCATCTTAAGAGATACT